TAAAATTAATACCTATCTTCAAATATTATAGGAATATTTCTTCTTAGCACTTAAAACTAAAGTTAGGCTCCAAGGTCAAGTGAATCATTGAATGAATAGATTATACTCTTAAAACTAACATAATAAGGATATAGAAATTTTGGTGCAACCATAATTTAAGCTCAGTGTTAAAATTACTCTGTCAATGTGAAAGCTTCCAAAGGTGGGTACCTGTTACAAAGTTACAAGCTAGTTTAATCCACTTTTTTTCTACTTTTATGTTCATGCAACTTCCCTTTATATAGAAACAATTATGCACCCACACATGAATTTGGTTAAAAGATGAGGGCAAAGGCGTATTATGCAATATAAGGTTCATTCTTTATATCTAGATTTTTTCTCTTCCAAAAGATCTGCAAGTTTCTAATCTATTTTCTCCTCATCATCCTACTAAATATACTCTGGTATTTTTATACTTGGTATAATATACTATTAATAATAAAAAATATTAATGTTGAATTTGTTATTAAACCTTAGAAAGTATGTTTTTAAAACGCACGTAAGCTGAAAGTTGTTAATTCACATTTTGCTTTACTTTTTTTATATATTTCAAGACCCACTTAATAAATTTCAGGGCAGAGGTGAAAAAAAATTAGCTGCCTGAAGTTTGTGACATCTAATATAATGAAGTATTATTTTCTTCTTTTTTTGCTGCAGAGAAACAATGAAAACAAGGAAAGGAAGCTTTTCAAAATAAAAAGAGCACTTACACAGTCACTCAGAAATCATGGGTTTAAGTCACAGCCAGATAAACTAGTGTTATAATTAATAACCAGTCTCTCTGGGCTTTAAGTTTTTCAATGACTCCACAGGGAGATTAACTAATTGATTGTTAGGATCTCTTCACTGTTAAATCCAATGGTTCTAAGATTAGTACTATATATGGCAGTAGCTTTAACATAAAGGTTATTCTTCATTATTTTTGTGTCAATGATCTATTTTGTGGTTATTTTCCTATCCATTTCTCTTCAGGGGTATGTTTTTATTAAATGTAAGCTAATACAGACTATTCGAGTTAAGCATTAATAATTTATATATACCAGTCCTAATGTGAATATTATGTATCTTAAAATTGCACTATTAATGAATTTAGTATCATTCTATGACTTAAATAATTCACAATTTTTTCCTCTTCTCAAACACCCGTTGACTTCAGCACAATTTCATTTAAGTGTTATTTACTGGTCATCTGCTGTTGAAATACACACACCACACAAACACACACACACACGCACACAGTAGGTGCTAGGGTTGGAAATTACACGCAGCACAAGGGTACAAGCAAACTGATTCCAATTAGGAGGTGACAAGAGAATTCATGACATAGGCTGGGTCTCAAGTATATACTGCACTGCATCTGATATACACTGAGAAAGAACACCCCAAACAAACGCACATTATAAACAAAGGTATAAAGATGGAAAAATTGGGGGTTTGTCTGATGATTGAAAAGCAGATCCATGTGACTAGAACACTGTCCATGCATGTGTATGCAGGTCAAAGCTAAATGCAAGATTAGCCAGCTAGCCTTTCATTTTGTATGAAATCAGTTTATGGCACTAAGCCTAAGTTTATACATTATTTAATAGGGAACTGTCAAAGGGACACATTCACTCTGAGTCAGAAGAGGAAGAGGAAAGAACATGTCTAGAAGTTGACAAGTTTTAGGTAAGATGAAAAAAGTTATAAGAATTCACACCTAATGGGTGAGATGATGATTAAATAGGTAGGTGTTGGAAAAACGGAAGCATCTGGATTAAACTTTAAATAGTAGAAGTTGATAACCAGAGAAACTCGAAGGCTGGAACTTTCCACCGATTACATGCCATTTCTTCAAATGACTTTGCCTATTCCATTTTTATTTTCTCATTGAAAACTTTGCTTACACTGAGGCCCTATCAGGTAGATGGTGTTGATTCCACTGCTGCCATAGACGCTTGGAAGATGCATGTGCATATGTGCTTTTGTGTATATGTGTTCAGGTTGTGGGGAATTCCATTTTTCTCTTTCTTTTTGGATGTCACCAACCATCCTGATACATGGAATAAGAACACTGTATCATGGGGCGCCTGGGTGGCTTAGTCGGTTAAGCGTCTGACTTTCGCTTAGGTCATGATCTCGCAGTTCGTGGGTTCGAGCCCCGCGTGGGGCTCTGTGCTGACTGCCAGTTCAGAGCCTGGGGCCTGTTTCAGATTCTGTGTCTCCCTCTCTCTCTGACCCTCCCCTGCTCACGCTGTCTCTCTCTCTCTCCTAGAAATAAGTAAAAAACGTTTAAAAAAAAAAAAAGAACACTGTATCATGACTGACGTGCCCTCCCCATTTAAATCTGCTACAATGCATTATGGGGAGACATTCAGTATTTCCCTCTGTTAGTTTCTTTGCATTCCTCAAATTCTGTAATCTCACCTGTATTTTATTTCAGCCACCCACATCTGCTGCACTACCACATGCCTTGTAATTCCAAAGATTGCTTTTATTCTAAAATTTTAAGCTCTAATATTTTACTTTGACCTCAGACTAAGATCACTTAACTTTCCTCTCTCCTACTTTTAATTTAAATATAGCATAGCACGGTGCTTAAAAGCCTAGACTCCTGATTTCGCTAGTTGAATGAATCCTAGCTTTAACACTATGTGCTGTATGTGAAAATTCTAAGGCTCCACACCAGGCCTGCTAAAGCACCTACATGGCATCTGGGGCCTGGAATAAGCTGTGTGTCCCTAAGTCCTGCAGGCAATTCTTATGTGTGATAAAGTTTAACTTCTGGCCTAAGTGAATGTGCATGTATTCTTTTCTGTTTAGCTACCTAGAACTTAAGATACAAGTTTATCATTCGCCAGCCAAAATTGATTATATTAGGTGCTTGCCCATATTTACTTCTTGTTCATTTAATTACATTTTCTTTTCTTTTTTTTTCTTTCCTCTAGTTTATATTATGTTTAATAAATCACAACCCTTTTGGAAATAAGCATATATTAAATTAACCACCATTAAGTTTCTTTAAAGTATTACTGAAAATATTTTTCAGGTCTGTAACTCTAGAAGACTACATGAATGTTCAGAATTTGTCAATATTTAATTGTAGAAGGAAAACAGTGTTACAGAAAACTGGCATTAAAAACAAAACAAAACAGACAAAAATCAACTTCCTGATCATTAAGGACCAGGTTAAGTTCCCCCAAATCAGAGGAGTAGAGCAGAGAACTTGAGTGTAGCAGGGACAGAGGGAGAACCTTCCTGTGTTCTGAAACTGACATTCATCTATTTCAAAGAGACGGTGGAAATCACAGTGATAGAGGCAGGCCCTAACAATTCTCACTATGACAAGAGCCTGAAACAACAGTTAAGAAAAAAGGCAAAGACAAATGAATCTGACAAAGGCTTGAAAAAGAGCTTGAAAGTTTGAAGAAAGAATGGAGCAGCTAAGGAGGTTGAAAACAATGAAGAAAGGTAAGTGGCAGGTCAGGTTTGACCTGATGCATCAAGTGTCTTTGAATGATTTGTGGGTTAACATTCTGCCTGCAATTGTAGACAAAAGACTGTTTGATTGATAAACTCAATTTGAGAACTTAAAAGCATACCTCTTAGGAATTCTACCTTAAAAACAAAATGCTTCCCGTTGACATAAAAATAACTAAACTGTAACACAAAAAGCATGTTGAAGAGGAGTGAGGGTGCCTTCATTCTGTCTCAGACCTGGAAAAAAGGATTTGCTTTTGTATGTTTAAAATCATCCCCAAAATGGACCTGATAACACCTGAGCAAACTTTCTCCTTGGCTGTTGCTTCAACAGAAACTCCCTGAACATTAATATTTATTTTGGAATGAGAGAGATTTATGTATGTACTTAGGAATACAAATAAATCTTGAAATGCAAATATTCCACATTTAGGAATAATAAATATGTATTTAAAGACTGGTGCTTATACAGTTTATAATTTATGCAGATATGACTTACACAGTCACGTCATAGTGAATTCTTTATTAGTGAGCGAAATATTATCAACAAGTTACTATTAAATTTAACTAAACATGCTTTCAAATCATAATTCAAGACATCATAATATTCTGTATTTGCTTGCAAATACCAAATTTAGGATTTGTTATCTTCACTATCATTTCAGTCACAAGAATTTTTAACTTATTTTAATACTATTGAATATAATCAAGTTATTGGATTATTGAACAAACCATCAGCTCTATGCTTAGCAGGGGCTTTGAAGACAGATAAGATTATTGTGTTCAGGCTTACAGTAAATATTTGAAAAATATTTTCTTGCATTGCAATGAATATAGTTCACCACTAGAGAGAGCTCAAACACTGTACTTTATTAAAGACAACACCTCCACTTTTTACCTAGATAGAAAATATCAATCTGAAATATCTGCTAATTGTAAAAACAAAACAAAACAAAACAAAACAAAAAAACACAGCAATGTTTATTTAAAATATCCACCGCCAACTCCTATATAGAAACCTTCATGTGTGGCATCTGAGAAAACATTTATTCCTGGCACAGAAAGTGTTAGTGGTGAAAGTTTTCAAGCAAGGTTTCCATGAGAGAAAGGTTCAGGTTGTATGTGTCCAGTGAACCCTGTAGCTAACTGAGAGAAAGGCCTTCTCACATCCTAGAAATAAAGGTTTTTTAAAAAACAACTCAAATGACACTTTCTAATATTATCATGTTACCAAACTGAGGGACACTCAAGAACAAGTCATTTGACAGACCAACATGTTCAAAAAATACTCTGTAATAAATGGAAATTGATAAAAACCTGAAATTAATATACTCATAATATCCTTTGTCCGATCCCACTTAAATTTTTTATTTGTTATCCAAGGTCACTTCATTTGGTGAAAATTTATATAATCATAGTAGATACAATATTCAATTCATCAGTTTCTAGTCCCTCTCCTTCCCCCATGTTGTGAGAAGGAAACTAAATAAAGAAACACATACACTCCAGTTTATCTTCGGGTCTTCCTCTTTCAAGGAGAGACAGATAACAGACAATATCCTTCAGATGAATTACTTCTGGGGAACACGTATTTGCAGGAGAAGTACGGGGTGGGGTGATGGCACCTTTATTCATTCTCAGACCTGAGGGAACAAAAAATATACTTGTCTTTATATTTGTAAAAATACCCACAATGCTTTAAAGGAAAAAAAAAAACAACAACTAAAAAATAGATAATACATAGACTATGGCTAGAGCTATATATTTTTAGGTTATATAATAACCAGATTCTCTAGAACTCTAGGATAGCAGAGTCAGGCATATTCCATGATTGTTGTAAATAATGCAGGTTTTTTTTAGGATTCAGGGACACCGGGACTGCTCTGTCTGCCTAAGGGAAGGTGTTAGGGTCAAAATCATCTTGTCCAGGGAGAGCGGGTAGGTAGATTTGAATGCATAAATAACTACTTTTCTCTTCCATCTTTCTGTGCTTTAGGAAGTGACAGCTATAAATCAGCTAAAGAGATATGAAAATTGCCCTTTCACACAACACTGAAGAAGAAATTTGAGTCTGTCACAATATGATTTATATGATGATAATCAAGAATCATTCATTCATAAAAACACATATTTATGTCAAATATTTGCCAGCACCCTGGATAAAACATCCTTTTTCCCATCAAGAAATCTGCCCATGACTAAGAAAGGGAACATAAACAAAAATCAGCTTAAACATGACAGACATTTAATTAGAGAGGTGGGAACATATGACTGTACTTTAGTTTTAATGTGGTTCATACTTTATTTCTGAAACCCATTCACTGTGCTTATTCCAAGACAAGAATAGTGAACTCAATGCGTGTTTGAAACTGCTGATGACTGTAGATTATCTGGCCGGTAATAACTGTAGTGAAACTCGTTTACATAAATGGTTAGTTCCATCTAACTGAGAAGCCTGTGAAACCAGATCGTGTGTACCTGACAGACCTGAAGGCAATCCCCAATTATCTTTTAAGGTTCACGTGGCAAACAAGAGGTGCTTGGGTGAAATGGTTTATGGGCTGAATGGCTACTAGATTCCTAATCAACCAGGAATTACTAGAATGGAGGGAATAATCCCAACCAAATACAGTTCTACAAACCTATCATTCCTTAGCATGTCTCTACCTAGCCACACCCCTTGTTCCTATTTCTTTTGATGGATAACTTTGATGGAGTACCTGGCCTCTCCTCTAGCCATCTCAAAATAATCTACTGGATTATGAAATTACTTCTATCATTCATTTAGTGAGTGTCTAATATGTGGCAGGAATCATGCTGGAGGCTTTAATATATATCATCTCACCTAATTCCCACCTTAACTCCATGAGGTGGAATACAATATTCCCATTTTACAAGCTTAGAGTTCTGCATCTGGAAAATCCAACCTCTTTAATCTACACTAATAGATTACAGACTATTTTTGCTCAAGGTCAAGAATAAGAAAAAGTTAAGAAAAACGATTTACATGTTAATCCACAAGAATCCTTTTATTCTCCCCACCCCATTTCTCATTACTAGAAGGTTCCATAACTGCCCTGATTTTTCTTTTCTGTGTTAACCTATTCTCTTCTCTTCTATTTCATTCTTAAAATTCTGTCAAAGATCCTCTAAACTGAATTCACCACCCATTAATGGGTCACAAACCACATTTTGAATAACACTGCTATAAATCTTTCCTTTATTTTTTAAATCAGTCTTACTTATTTCAAATACAATTATATGCTTCACATTACTTCTACTTCTGTTTATAGCTATTAAAAGAGACATGATTATAAATTGATTTTATTCTTAACAAAATGTCACTGCATGTCTAACAAAAACTAATAAAGTTATTTTTAAAAAATAAAAGGCAGAGAATTAAAGACAATCTTGAGTTTTTAAAGACATATATACCTTACAAGTTCTACCTAACCAACTGAAGCTTGGCCAGCTGTAGGAATAAGCAGTTCCAACTTCTGATAAAAGACATTTTGGCGCTAACCTTTGACATGACCATAACTTTCAGACTTGGAAACACAGTATTTGAATTATGTTTGGATAAACTGTGACCTAACTCATCCTGCATGATGAGCTAATCCTCTGTTCTCCGCTTTCCCGTTATGGTACTGAAATGACTTAATCAGCTTGATTTAACTCTTCTACAAAAACTCAGGACAAAACAAAAAAGAAGGAAAAGAACATGTTATGACATTAATTTGAAAGAATGCCAACCGTATTATACATTTTCACTGATTTAGAACACCTCGTGATCATTTGTTTGTATAAAACTAAAGTGCTTGGTATTTCATTATCAGCTTTCATAATACTGAATATAAACAATATATGGAGAATGTGAAAACCACATAATTTTGCCTCCTTGCAAGCAATGTACATATTGAACAGAAACAGCCACACATGATTTACATTTAGCCCTACCTTTTTGAAAAACATATTATTATACTAAAATTATTTTTATTTGACAAAATGAATGAATGTTTCATTTTCTTTTCATGACATGTTGTAAAGTAAAAGCTGTATCATATTCATGTAGTTTTATATTTAAGAGAATTTAAAGGCTTTTTAAAGAAATATTTGGACTTATATAGCAACCATATTGAAGAACTAATCAACTCTTCCTCAAATCCAGACAAAGATTTTGTTGTTGTTGTTCCTTTAGGATAGATCAAAATAATTACACTTTTTGCAATGACTTAGTACATAGAGAGAAAAAAATGTCAAAGAACATTTTGTCAATTACTTCCTAACAAACAATTTGGTAGAAGAGGACTTGACAGAATCCTGAGGTGCTGAACTGATGGAAAATGTTCTAAGTTTGTTCCTGCCTAGTCCTGTCCCCAAGATAAGCTCACTTTCTCTTAGCTGCTGAAAATGTTTCCTCATATTTTCACTTAATTTTCTGAAAGCAGGTCCTGGGGCCTCAATCTGTCTTCATAGAGATTTTTTCAACTCTACTCTACTATTTATATATACTTTATATATATATTTCCCCTTTCTTAAAGCTGGCTTCAGGTCTTTTCCACAACTTGACTCCTTCATTGCTCTAAAATATTTCTTTTTCTTTGAAGCAGTCTGGCTAAAGTTGACGCAGAACACACAGGAAACTGTCATAGGTGGCAAACAAGAAGTTGCAAGCCCGGTTTCTCGACTTCTTTTCAAGGAGATGCTAAATGGAACCCTACATTCCTCTTTAGCAGCAATAGCCTCTGATGAAGGGGCTCAGTATTCTACTTTCCATTAAGGAAGGCCATTTTAATCCATTTGATCATTGCTAAAACTCTTTAGAATTGGAACTGAACAAAAAGCTAGGCAAAACAGTGGTGTTTCTTTTGCCTGAAGTGGTCAACATTTACCTCTAAAGATAATGTGATTAGCTGACACCCAGTTACCAGGTTTAGTGACTTGCCAAAAGTTATGCTTCTTTCAATATTGCCTTGCAAAACTGAAGCAAGTGTATACACACACACACCATTTATGTCCACATACCAATGTCTGTTTGCACTGTACAACAAAAAAACAAAATAAAGTGAAAAGATATGCACTGTAACTGGAGTGTATTCATTCAATTAGGAAAAACTATCTTGTGCTTTGAGAACATTTTTAAGTTTGATAATGATTTTAGTGTGTGTGTATATATCTTCTTATATATAAACATTCTTCAAAGTTTTTAACTACAAAGATCATTAGCATTAGTCAGGTTGAGTACTGCCTGCTATTATCACATTCTTCAAGCAGATGATTTTCATTGTAATTCAAACTGGAGACACTCCATTTGTTCCAACAAAAATCTAAACAAGTTTTGTTTTAGTAGATAATTTTAATTCCAGTTTCAAGGTTCAATTATTAGTAAATAAATTTCAGGTACATGTTCAATTATTGCCTCTGCTCCAGTGTGTTTTATTTTGAAACACATGTAGCTCAGATAATGAAAAGGGTATCATATTATTCATTGTTTTCCTTCATCTATTAAAATGGAATATTCAAAACTAATAACATGAATTACATTTCCATGCTTATAAGGCTAAAAACCACTCTGGTAATTTGGCTTATCCATTTCTTAATACTGGCTCAATTTTCAGAAATTTAACAGGCTTAGAAACAATTTGTCAGAGTATAATCATATTTCCAATATTTGTAGTAAGAGGTCATGATAAGTAGCATAGGCAATAAAAAGTAAGAACGATTGTTTGGTATTGTCAGACATTTCATGATTTTCAGAGTTAACTTTCCAGTTATGATTATTTTAGGATAGTATTATATTTTATGTTTTTAATTTTTTACGTTTATGCAAATTGGCAGCAAATGAGATAGACTGGGCTACAAATCAACAAGGAATGTAAAATATGCATAAAATGAGGATAGGCAGTGGGATATTTTCCCTGACAAGAGACTGGGTCAATAAAGTATCTGTAGCAACATACTCTGCACTTCATCTTTTTGGACACTGGCAAAAAACTCAAACAAAAAATTATAAGGAACAGGGCTCAAAGCACAGGTCTTTGGGGGTGATGTTCTAGAAGCACATCTGCGCTTCTATGCCATACTGGGCTGCAGTCTGTGTTTGCGCTGCACTGTGAAGGAGCAGTCATAAACCCATCCGAACTGTGTGCCAACAACACTTACACACAATTGTAGGGTCTCATTTGACCCTACAATTTTATTTTAGAGACAAGAAGGTGGAACATCAGAGAGTAAAGTAAACCTCCAATGGTCGCATAGCAATCCAGGGAGTCAAGAATTGGAAACAGGATATCTAATTCCTGACATTAGGGTCTTTTCAAGTCAGTAAAAACAAAATCTACATCAGTTCTGTACAGCAAAATATTGTGTAATGATAAAATTATTCTGTATGTGTAGTGTTCAGTAAGGTGGTATTAACTTTATGGCTAATATGCATATAAAACCTTATGCATATAACCTTATGGCTGTTATGCATATAAAAAATGGTTGGTATCACTGAGGAACTGAATTTTTGTTTTACTTACTTGTTAACTAATTTAAGTTTAAGTAGGTACACTGGGCTAATAGCTACCATAGTAGTCAGTACTGGTGACATACTGTCTGCTGAAAGTAAATAAAACTACCATGTATGAAAACATAAAAA